ACACGAGTGTGTGACCCCAAGAATGATGGAAGCGGACGGTGGAGGTGGTTCTCGTTGGACATTGAGATGATTACCAGGCACTGAAGTTGAAAAGCCATTCAAAGTACGTCCTGGCTTTCTGCTTTGGCATCAGCCTCTGGAGGGGAGAAATTTTAGATGCCAAGGAGGATTTCTAGCACTCTTTTTTGTCAAAATTTTGTTTCCAAACTTCTTAATTGTGTGAAGGGCCACGAGGAAATGTGTCCTCTCTGCATGTTCCTGTCCTTCGATAAATGATCTCCACTCAAGGAGCTCATAGGAAGATGCGTAAAGACGACTGCTTTGAATGCAGGTGTTTGAACTTCTCAAGCATAAGCAGATGGCTAAAGAGCAGAGTGAAGGACTGAGCATTTACGTTGTTGTAGAAGATATTGTGATCTGCAGTGGAACGAAGTGACGTTAGAAATTTCCTCTTATTTTTACTTATATTAATGTTGAACATAAATCAAATTTCACTTTGCTTACATTTTGCAAAGCATAAGGAAGGAAGGAGGTACGCAACGTTCTCAGTAGTGCTAAGTTATATATTTTTTTTAAGTGCCAGTAATGAGAAATGTGTTTGCTTCACAGAATACAATTATTTTGTCAAATCTTGCTTCAGTCTACTTGTTTCCACAATGGGCCTTTATGCTTCTTCGTATTTTATTCTGTGTTGCTGCTAGGAAACCAGTCATCCACAATTGAGAAGCACAATTAAGTGTCCCTGATACAACGTAGCTTCCATTACATGTCAATATAAAGAAGACATCCAAACGATTTCTAAAATGAGGCCCACGGTGGGAAAGGATTTTTCAGGCTGGAGCCTTCATGTCAAAGACTCTGCTGGTGCATTAAATGACTCATGTCTTGAAACGATTTGGCTTTTTTCATCACTTATTAATGAGTAGACACCAGCCTTTAAAGAATGCTATTTCCAGAAAGCTTAGGGACCACAGGTGCCAGATCTTCTTTATACACTTCTATGGATCATTTATGGATAAAGGTCTCAAGCTGTGTCAACTTTAGCGGTTTAGTTTGGATCAGGAATGTTTTTTTGAAGGAAATCTTCCGTATGTTCCTGCTGTTGTATATTGGTGCACATCACAAGTGGTCTTGGGGTATGTGGATTGGTCTGCTTTGAGGTGCAGCAAACCCAGGAGATCTGCTCTAGGGCCTGATGTCCTTCAACCATGACTGGGTGGCATTTGGTTCAGAGACCAGACTAAAGCTATTCTACAACAGAGAAATATTTTCCACTGCAGGCAGACTGATGTCATTTGAATTTGAGTGAAAAGTGTTAGCAAGCCCCAAACTTTTCCAAGTAGTATCTCATTCCCACCATTTATGTTATCCCTAGTGCCACTTAGCAACAACAGAGGAAATTAAGTAGATTTGTGGAGGCTGCAAGGGCGCAAGCTGATCATGATTTTGTACAAAAGCACAGAGTCTTGGAAGCCTCACTCGCTCCAGTTTGACACATGCCTCTATTTTTAGCAGCCTTTGGTATCACAGAAAAACCAAAGATGGTTCCATGTGCAGTTTAATTGTTGACATATCAGTTTAGCATCTAAAGGATTTAATTGCTATCAAATCTGTGTCTCTTGCTCCATTCAAAATTGGTCCTTATTTTTTTCCCCCTCCTTCCCCTCTGCTCACCAGCTTGCAAATGCAATGGCCATGCCTCTGTCTGCAACACGAACACGGGGAAATGCTTCTGCACCACCAAGGGAATAAAAGGAGACGAGTGTCAACTGTGAGTTTGCTTCACCCTTGTTATTTCTGAAATCAAAAGGCCGGGCACGTGCTGGAACGGGACCCTGATGTTTTTTTAACGACTGCACTTAGGATGTCTCTGCTCATCTCTCGGTGATGACAGTTGACTACCTCCTTTGCTGGTGCAGCTGGCTGCACTTCCCTGGGGGAATAACATGAGCAAAATGATTTCCTTAAGTTTGCCATTTTGAGAGTGTTTCAGCTGCAAATGTCATGCAGAGTGTGTAGGGTGAAAAGTAACCCTGAACCCCCCCAGACTAAGCATTCCACTTTGCTTATCCCTCATTTTATATTTTTTAAATCATAGATATATTTACTCTTTTAGGCACTCTGCCCTTCCAAAGGAATATAAATATATCAGAAATAAGAGGGGAAAAGACTTCAACCTTCGGGCATATTAATGGACCCCTGTCAGAGCAAATATTTGCAGGAAAATTCTCTATAATATAATGCAAATGCTTTTAGTGAAATGCTAATGGAAATTGTTTTCTTGCCAGGTTTATTTTTAAAGTGTTACTTGCATGAGGAAGCATTGTAGGACTAGATCTGGGATTGTCCGTAAATGAAAATGTTAGTATTTGGCTGAATTGATCCAATTGTGTGCATTATGTAGAAATATTAATTGCATTTCAAATGAATGCAAAGGTATGCAAATTCATAATTTTATATTTCATTTTCACTGCTTTCTAATTTTTGTGCAGATCTGAGGTTGGATTCATTCCTTCAGCAAAACAGTATAGCTCAGACATGCATCTTTTATTTTTAAGTGTGTAAAAGTGGTATTTTCTGATTTTTATTGACTGGGAATAAATAAAACTGAAGAAATGCATTAATTAAAAATTCTTTTTTTTTTTTTTAGGTGTGAAGTTGAAAATAGGTATCAGGGAAATCCACTTAAAGGAACATGTTACTGTGAGTACTGCTGAGATTTCTTTTTTGGATGTTGCTAATATGTTTGACATTTGAAATGCATCGTTTAAAACCAATATTAGTTGTCTCCGCATCTGTTTAAAATCCAGGAGATAAAGGCTAGGATTAGAAATATTTTTTAAAATATCACTTCTCCTTAAACTGTAACTCAAAGAAAACCAAAATAATTTTTCTTGATAATGTTTGTGGATCCATCAAATCAGATTTTTCTATTTTCATGTGACTTGGAAATGATATCTGGTCATCTAGAAAATACTCTAAAATTTAATGACTGTAATGGGTCATTGGATCTCTGTGCAACTTCAGAACATACTTTGCCAAGATGCAGATTAGTTAATGGACACTCTTGAGCTTCTGCATGCAAATACTTGCAATCAGTGTGGAAAAAGTAAAAGTGTGACTATATTTTCTGAATGTACGGTTGTGAGAGCCGTTTAGTTTAAGACTGGAGAGACTCCTGCATGAGGAACATGGGCCTTTTTCCCCTCTAGATTCAACCAGAGAGGATGGAAGTGGGATAAAAGTCTGGAGCATCTCTCCTTTTTGTGCAGGATATACATATGTTGGTCTCTCTTGCAGTGGCAGAGCAGTGACTCCTAGTTGTGCTCTTGGTGCAAGAAGCTCTTTGCTAACATGTCTTGCTTGCTTGAAATTAGTTTTATTCCAAGATATAAGTTTCTCCTTGCGTTCCTTACAGATACTCTCCTCATTGACTATCAGTTCACCTTCAGCCTCTCTCAAGAGGATGATCGCTATTACACAGCCATCAACTTTGTAGCAACACCAGAAGAGGTGAATATTCTACCTTTCATTTAAACTTCATCCTTTGACTCTATGTTCATCCTCTCCTGACCAAGGAGATGATGAACTGTCGTAGTTCTGCTAGTGTCCAGAGCTGCTCTCTTGATGTAGCATGTGTCCGATTTGACAGAGCAGCCAGAGCCTTCTGATCTTCTTGGTTTTGGCCCACGCAGTTTCAAATATTCATGTCTAATGGTAAAATTATATAAGGATTCACTGTTAACTCTATTAATCTATTTTTACACTTACTTGAACAACTTGCTGGGCAACTCTGACCTTGCTAGCTGGCCACCACATACCTTACGTCTGTTTTCTTGCACTTTTTGCTCCAAGCACTTGACTTGTTTTGTTCATTCCTTGGTGAACAGAATACTACTGTCAGAAAATGAAAAGTTTTGTAGGTTGTTTTCTGTTTCATATGAAGATGCCTCATTTATTTGCGTTACGCAAATAAGCAATTCCAGGATTCCTTTCAGTGAAGATTTGCTATGAAGACAGTGCAGTAGGATTGGTTAATTTTTTATTCTAAAAATGTTTTTTTTTTCCCTTCAGCAAAACAGAGACCTTGACATGTTTATCAATGCATCTAAGAACTTCAACCTCAATATTACATGGTCAACAAGTTTTGCAGGTAAAACAAGTAGGAACTTAGTTTAATTCACCTAAAGATAAGGAAACTTGCTTTTATTTTTTCTTTGAAAAATGACAGTTTTCAAAATGAAAGTTTAAAAAAAAATGCATGTTTAGGTGGGAAAACTTTTCTTCTACCTATGAACTGATTATGAACTGACTTGGAACAAAAGTACACTATTAAAAGAATTACGTTTTTTACGTTTTTCTTTCTTCTGGTTTCCTGTCTTGGGATGTGTTTTGGAGACACGAAAGGCGCTAATTTAATGTTTAGTAATACAGTTTTTCTGCATGCACTGATTCTTGATAATGTGATGCAACTCAAAATAGTAGCAGAGTATTGGTCTATATGAACAATTAATTTTACTGTCACTGTAATAACCTAACCTTAGAACTTGGAATAATCATCCCTTTTTGTTTATTGGTAAAAATACTCATCGAAACCTCTTTTCTGCTCCTTGTTAACATTCTAAAACAGCAGGCACACAGGCTGGTGAGGAAATTCCAGTTGTTTCAAGAACCAACATAAAGGAATACAAGGACAGCTTCTCCAATGAGAAATTTGATTTCCGCAACAATCCAAACATCACTTTCTTTGTCTATGTCAGCAATTTCACCTGGCCAATAAAAATACAGGTAGGCTTTCTTCAGGTTAGATAATTACTTAAAATACTTGTTTTTTCCTCAAGCAATGTGTCAATTTGGCAAGCTATGTATTGTCCAAGCTGGCCAGCTCAGTGTAATCCTGCAAAGACTGATGAAGAGTAAAACAGTGCCTCGTCTTCTGTTGTCACCTCAGCCCAGTGGATCTGCAGATGGACTGTGAAGTGCACTGGGAAGGGTTGCTTGCTTATCAATAGAGCTATATTCTAATGATGTATTTGACTTTTAATATGTAGCTTCTGTCCCTTGGAATAATAATAATAATAAAAAAAGAATTCCAAAAGCTAAAAATCATACACAGAATGAGTAAATAAAGGAAATGCTCTCAATGTCTTTTTATGTCTTGTTCTTAGAAGGCGTAGCTGGAGGGCCATCCACCTTTCTTCTTTTGTTGTCCAAGACCAGGTGTTACCTGTGGAATCAGGCAAAGTTCATTATTTCCTTTAATTTAGTGCAGTCAGTGAACATATGTTGTCACAGATATCAAATGGTTTGTGGCAAGGTGAGTGCAGCAGAAGCAGTGGAGGAAGTTCATTGGTTCAGTAAAATGAGACACAGACTTTCCAGCTGTGGTTGCAGCTAATAATTAGGAGAAACCATGGCCACTTTCTTGATCTTGGCTAATTTTGGTGCCAGCTGGCAATGTACATCATGGTATGTGGGCCCTTTGAAGGAAAAAACTTGTAGATCTGAACCAGAGACCTAAACTGAGGCTTCTTATGTTTAAATTTTGCCCACTTAAGAAACTTGATCAGATATAGGAACACGGATTCTTCCATCTCCACCTTTATACAACTGCTTTTAGAATTACCTTGTGAAAATTGGCAGCTTCCCATAAATTTACTTGATATTGCAGACATTCCAGTTACCGAAACTCACCATAGGGATCACTTCTGACAAAGATAATGCACGCCATAATATCAAGCAAGGTAATGATGTCCCAGTGGAAAAATGTCCTTAAGCTGTAGAGGTACTTTCCAAGGTTTTTTTCCTGAACTTTAAAAAATATTGCAGTTATTTATGAAATGTCAGAATCACCTTCTGGTAAAGATAGGGTTGTGGGGGGTTTTTTGTGTGTTTTTTGTTTTTTTAAAATACTTGTGAAACTTTGTCACGCCTGTTACAGGCTGGTAGGCTTGAAAGATTGCCCTTGGACTGCACCTGCTTCTCAGTTCTTAATATCACTTAAAATATTGGTGATTATTTTACGGTTTGAGATTTTTTCTGGTTTACAGATAGGTGAAAATCTTAATTCATTGATTAATCCTATTTTTTAGGTATGAAGGATTTGCAAAAATTGGCAAGTTAAAACATCTGCTGACTCTTGCTATGCCAGTGTTGTCATTTAAGCTTGAATGTCCCTTTCAACTCCTGTTTCGCAGCTAGGTCTCCCTCCTTCGCTAGTTAAATTTAGGCAGATCAGTCATGTTGTCGCTCACCTTAACTAACATGTGATTCTGTAGTACAATTTGCTCTCGCTAACTCTATTGCTCATTTAATTCCATTTTTTCAATATCTTCTGCTGTTTTTAGGAAAACTTTTCCTGATAATTGTTGTCCTGTTTAGGTCTTGGGGTTTGGATGTCTCTATTCCCCTTGCTCCCCTACCTGCAAGCTCTAATTTTTCTGTAGGCCCACACCCGTGTGGGTAGATGGTTTTTAACAACCTTGCCCTATTTCACATGTCTTTTCTTTCGGGATGCTGGGTTACGTGCTGTCTGGTTTTGCAGATTTTGAACATACTGAAATATCCAAGTTCTTTATCCACTTTGGTGGCATATCCTTCCCTATATGTTTTGCCTTGCTCCTATTTTGGTGTCCTTGTCCTTATTGAAAACACTAGTTTAATTTTTGGGATAGAGCTGATTGGTTTTATCTCCCCTCCTTTAGTCTCTTCCTTTTATGGCTGAAATTTTTCTTGCTATTTTGTTTAGCATTTACTGAGGTCTAGCGCAGCTTGACATTCAGCAGTTCCTATTCTGTCTGCCACTTGCTGGCTTTTAAGACATATTTGCTGAATGCTTCTTCTCTCCATAACATGTAGACTGTTTAATTGATCTTAATGTCCTTTTCGAGGTTGGTTTTGAGGATGCAGGTCGCAGATAGTTCTGCATCTTTGATATGAGGGGAATTCTTAGATGGCTGCTTTCCCATCCTTATCTCACTCCACTTGATTTTACTGCCTTATTTAATTACTTAAAAGGAGTGAACTTTGATCCTCTTAGTTTATCCTTAATTTATCCCTAATTTTATCTGAATGGGCTTGTGTGCAGTCAACCCAAGGTAATTTTATGTGGTCAAATCTTCTCCAACATCCTTGCAGCATGCCAAAATAAAATCTAAAATAGCATCAACTTTTACTGGCCAGCCATCTTTTTGTGAAGAAGTGTGCCAGCAACATCAGATCCAAGAATACAAGGTTGTGATGATTACACTTAACATACAATTTTCAGTTGATATCTCATAGGCTTGTTTCCTAGAATTGACTTTTTTTTTAGTCATCTTTCTCTGAATACCTGTTGGTGTTGAGCATCTCGGTCCTTTCTCATGTTTGCAGTAGCAATTCTTCATGGCTCGCTAGGGCTTTACCATCCTTTTCCAGGTGGACCACCTGCACCCTCTTTTGCTGGTGGTCCTTTGGTTGGTGTGGAATTCCTCCTGTCTAACGGGAATTCAGCAGTGTTGCACATCTGGCCATGACATAAAATCAGGCTCCTCCCACATCCTCTGACAGCCTTTTCCAGACTGAAATCTGCATTTTGCATTCCTGAAGCTGCAAGGTCTTCTATTTATTAGCTCGCCCCTTGCTAGGGATAGTTGTCCTGTTTCTTTCCAAAAAACCTCTCTAAACCTGGTGTGTGCTGATACCACCCTGTGTTTTCAGTTTGTTCACTATCTGTGTCATTCTGGTCATTGGCTAACTTTCTACTGAAGTCTGCAGCTGCATCTTCAGTCTTCTGGTCTCTGTGCTGTCAGGTTTCATGTCACCCAGAAGGTTTTCTAGACCAGGTGCTGAGACACTTGATGGTTTGCCACTATGCATGTTGTACAAGCCAGGGATAGGTTTTTACTCTAACACTTCTCTGTGTTAGATGCCCTTTCCTTGGCAACTTGATATTTTTCAGAGCAGTTCTTGGATAGGAGATGATATTATAGATAGCAGTGGTTTCACAGAGGAAAAACTAGGGGAGAAATAAGCAGAAAAGTGTAACATTTTTTTTCTCCAGGACTTGCCATGTCCTTTCAGCTCATGTGTAATCTTCCATGGAGAAGTAAGTTACCTCCAATTCTCCTTGGTTGTATTCTCTGTTCCTACTTGTCCTTTCTCTGTCTTTTTCTTCTTTGCTTTTCCTTTTTCTTTTCTATATTTTGCCAAGTCTGAGCTCTCTTGGAGGCACATCCTCAATGAGAAAAGACAGAATATGGATGTTTGGGGTGAAGACCTGCGTAGAGACAGTCCTTGATTGCTGTTGGGTGCAATATTTAAAAACAGAGCAGTGATCAACTTCTGGACCCCCCACCCGCTTTCCTGACTGCTCCTTCTACACTTGTTCTGTTTTCTTCTCGAGAAAACAGATTTTTTAAGAAATTATTATTCCTTTTTCTAAGTGACTGTCCCTTATTTCATAAAAGTTCCTATACGCTTTAGGTTTAGTCCTTCAGGGCATGCTGACTTTTTAATTAAAACTGCATGCAATAGTATGGCCAGGACACCAGCAGATTTTCTTCTCGCAGAGACTCAGGTTTGCTCATTGCAGTCTTACTCCAAAACTTTTTGCAACTACAGAATATGTCTGAATTTCCCCTTGGCAGTTACAGTGCTTTCAGTATAAGAAGTGTGATGAAGGCGGTGGAACTCTGGAACTGCCAGGTTGCTGTTGGGAAATGCTGGAAAATATTCGCTCTGCGTGTGTGTGACCTTGCAGCTTACACGTTTTGTTTGAACTGTTCCTATGAACTATGGCAAACGGTACTTTTTATCTTTTGTTTGAATAGCATAATAAGCAGCTGTGCGCACATTCTCTTATCCTGGCTTGTTTTCAATTTAGATATAGATAATATCCTGACAAAAATGCTTCTGTAGATGCATAATCTTGGATAAGAAAACTTTGCAAACTTACAGTCTTTACTACTGTACAGTTAATGAAAACCGCAATTCACATTATTTCTTAATTTTAAGAAACGTAATTCTCAAACCACTGATTGAAATCTG